CCTTGCATAAATAGGGCCAGGGTAGAACTTGTGTTTATATTTAATTTCTTACCTAATCTTCTTAGTATTGCTTTGAGTTAAAGAAATAAATGTTCCATTTTGTTTCCTACATTTAAACACACTTTGCTGTTCTGAAGACTGACGAGCTGTTTGCCATAGGCCTCTGGGTCACCGGGAAGATGCTCCTGTCTGGAGGAAACGCTTAGTTTCTAGAGAGGCTTTGAAGACAAGGGAGCAAGGGTAGTGAGCATTTTTTTTTTTTCATGGCATTAAGGAGTGATTCTTATTTACTCTTACGAGCAGATATTATTAGTGCTTCTCTGTCAGATAGAGTCTTGTGTATTCCAGGATGACCTTGAACTTACGTTGTAGCCGAGGATGACCTTGAACTTCTGATTCTTTTGCCTCTGTCTCCCAGGTGCTAAAATTTCAGGCATGGGCCCCGCACCCAGTTTATGTGGTCCCTATAATTAAAACATGGGGCTTTTGAGTGTGCTCAGCTTGCTCTGCCTTATATGGTGCTGAACATGAAGTTTGTTAGATCCTACAACACAAAAAAAAAAACCCCGCTTGAGTACTGTGTAACAGTGTGCTTCTAAAAAGGACACTGCAGCCTGTCATTGGTGGCATACACCTTTAACCCCAGCATTCGGGAGGCAGAGGGATTTCTGAGTTTGAGGCCAGCCTGGTCTACAGAGTGACTTCCAGGGCTACACAAAGAAACCCTGTCTAGAAAAACAAAACAAAAGTTAATATAGCTGTCCCTTAACATAGTTTTTAGTTGAAATAATTTTTTGATATGTGTATAATACCTTTGTGGAATTTCTGTTGTTGTTTTAAAGTCTGTGTGGGTCACTATGTGGTCACATTGGCCTCAGACTTAAGATACTCCTGTTTCTGTCTCCTCAGTGCATAATGGCAAATATTAAACAACATTTTTTCAGATGATGCCCTTCCCTTTTGTTTGGTAAATTGCTGGGGGTTTGGATTGGTTAAAAAAATACCTTAGATTTGCAGGGTTGGGTGCCTTTGCTCTTTCTGGTAATAGATATCGAATAACTATTAGTTAAATAAAACTAGATATTCTGAAGTATTTGAGAGGGTGAATTGAGCAAGCATGAAGGACTTTGGGAAAATTGTATCTGCCAGAAAGACATTAGCTGAACTATTTGGATATGATTTGGCTATTCTGAATTACTTGGGAAAAATCTTCTATTAACTGGATGTTCTTTTTGTTTTGAGAAATATAAAAGTAGCTCAGAGGGGTAGAGGTGTGGTTCAGTTGGTAGAATGCCTGTCTACTATGCATAAACACTGGGTTTTGTTCACCAAAACCACAAAATGGACATGGGATGGGCGTGGTAGCACATGCATTTAATCCCAGCACTCTGAAAGCAGAGGCAGGAGGACTTGGATAGCCAGAGCTGCTATGCAGAGAAATTCTGTCTTGAAAATCAAAAAAAAAAAAAAAAAAAAATGACATGGTGCCTTCTGCCTATAATCTCAGCACTAATTTAGGAGTTGAAGGTTGAATAATCAAAAGTTCAGTTCATCCTCACTCAGCTACATAGCCTGTTGGCAGGTCAGTCTGGGTTCTATGAGGTCTTGTCTCAGGAGGAGGAGGAAAGGGAATTGTGTGGCCTTCTAACTTTCATTTCTCCTACAGAACTTTACCATGTACTGTACCTACTATGACTTTGAAACTTGAACATACAGAAATAATTTCTTACCCTTCCTAATTCCATTCTTTATTTATGTGTGTCTGGATGTATGCCAGGTGTCCCAATAGGGTTTTGGTTTTTCAAGACAGTTTCTCTGTGTAGCTTTGGAGCCTGTCCTTGAACTCGCTCTATAGACCAGGCTAACCCTGAACTCAGAGATCCATCTGCCTCTGCCTCTTGAATGCCAGGATTTAAGGCATGTGCCGCCACCACCCGACAATTTTTTTTAATTTAATATTTAGTTATTAATTATGAGCGTTTTGTTTTGTCTCCATATGTTTGTACAGCATATATGTGCCTGTTGCCTGAGCAAGTCAGAACAGGGCCCAGGGCCCCAGCTCCTCTGGGACTGGAGTTAGAGATGGTTGTGAGCTGCCATGTGGGTACCCAGATTGAATTTATGTCCTCTGAAGAGTAGCCAGTGTGAAGCCTGAACTCACAAAGGCATAAAAACTGGTTTACCAATTGGTGCAGTGAAATGGACAAAATCACAGAGTAAGGCTGAAGCAGCCACTGATCCTGTGCCGCCTCTCCACTGTTTAGGTCTCCAACCATGCCCAGCACCAGCCAGAGCAAGTGGGCCTGTGTGCTTTCCCCTCCAGCTTATCAGTCCTCAGGTAGCACACAAGGCTATTGGGGGAATGAATTCTTATAACTCCACTGCTCTTGACCACTAAGCCAACTCCAGCCCTCGTTGTCTTTTTAGTGATGGATGATGGAGATCCTGTTTGTAACATTGTAAAAAAAATTATTTTTCTGCCTCAGACCTATAGGCAGGCTTTTGCTGAGGTTGCTACTGCTTTTTAGGCAAGGTCTTAAAACTGACTAGATCAGGCTAGTCTGGACCTCGGCTATGTTACTGCATTCCCCTCCAGTGCTGGGTTGTTGAGGTAACAGGTGCAGACCAGTTAGTCAGGCTTGTGTTAAATTTCTGATACTTTATGATTTGAGGATTAAATCTTTTTAAAGATGGTCTTGCTATACCACCCTGGTTAACCTGAAACTCATGACAGACTAAGCCGGCCATGAAATTGTGATCCTCCCGCTGCTGTCTCCAGAGTGCTGGGATTACAGGATTACAACAATGCCTAACTAATTTTAATAGCTAGAAAGTTAGAGTAAAAATCACAATCTGGAAATGTTACTCTCCACCTTCTAGTGTGTCTCTTGCTTTAGGGTACAAACTTTGACCTAGCCCACCTTTCCTCTCTGCACATTATCATTATCCATTTTCTAGTCCTCCGCTTTAGAAGTAACTTCTGAGGCCCACATTTACTTGTTTTAACACCTTTCTGTTTTTCAGGGGTCAAATTTTACCTCAAAAGGTCTCTTGGACTTCAAGAGTGGGTTAGATACACATTTAACTCTTCACTCAATGTGGCTGCTATGCAGACAGGAAGTTGCTATTAAGTACCTTTAGCATCTAAGTATATCAGAGCTAATGGACATTATTTCTTGAATGGAGTGAAAACCGCAAAGTTTAACCTAAAACTCCAGGCTTAAAAAAAAAGTATGTGTATGGTATTGTGCTTTACATGTTTGTCTGTGTTCTATGCGCATCCCTGATACCTACCGAGGTTAGAGGATGTGATAGAGCCCCTGGAACTGGAGTTACAGGTGGTTGTGAGCCATTGTGTGTGTGTTGGGAATTGAACCCAGGTCATCTTCAAGAACAAAGTGCTCTTTGAATCGACTCTAGCCAGACTTCACATTCTTCTCTTTTATTTATTTTATTTATTTATTTTTGGGAGACAGAGTTTCTTTGTGTAACCCTGTCTGTACTGAAACCTGCTGTGTAGACCAGGTTGGCCTTGAACTCCACCTGCCTCTGCTTCTCGAGATTAAAGGTGTGTGCTACTATGCCCACTGACTTTATTCTTAATAGACTTGTAAAATGTTTTTTCCTGTCCTGAAGTTTTCCTGTACCAGTATCCTAAAGGAGGTGGGACAGGGATGCAAAGAGGTGGATATCAAACCCCACAAAGCCAATCTGAGGGAAGAGAGCCAGATGGATAACGGGGTACTGCTTTTAAATGTTTTTTGCATGTATGACTATCAGCCTGAAGTGTACATAATGTGAACCATGTGTATTCCTGGTGCCATGGAGGCCAGAAGAAAGCATCAGATCTCCTGGAACTGGAGGTAAGAGACCGTTGTGAGCAGCCATGTGCATGCTGGGAATTAAACCCTGATGCGTGGCAAGAGCAGTAAGCACTCTTAACCACCAAGCTAGCACCCCTTCACTTAAAATCAGGCTGGACCGACTGGAGCTCTGTAGATAAATTAAGATGGCTTTAAACTTTCATTGGTCTGCCTCTGCCTCCTAAGTGTCGGGACTACAGGGATTTGCCATCCATCCAGCAAAATGTAGCTCTCTAGCTTGTAAGTGATCTTCCCAGGAGATAGCAAAGGCTTCCTCCCTGAGGATCCATGGCTAGTGGCCCGCAGAGCATGCAATGCAATTTCCCAGGCACCTACTGTAACCAAATTCCTGTTCAGCCCAGTCTGCAACCCTGACAACTCACCTAAGGCTAGGAAGAAACCAGATTTCCCCTGTACATCTCATTTATGCCTGTTCACACCTTCCACCTGAGCGCTGGCTTAAAGCCGGTGGCAGCAAAGTTACCCACATAGCAATTAGTTTTGAGAAGCATGGGTGCCTAACATGCGACGTCTTCAACTAGATACTGAACAAGAATGTTTCGGGTAGCATCTGGGGCATAACCGCAGAAGTGGCCGTTAAATTGGCAACGGTTAAATGAGTCAACAATTGGGCTGGGTTACTGTGGTGCCACTGACCACAGCACGGCCAGATGTCTTACAGCAAAACAAAGCAGAGCACAATGGTCACTCCCCTTCGGGCCGGGCTACCCCTAAGAAGGTGGGCATCTCTGACCTATTTCCACTCCCCATTTCGCCCAGACGGTCCTTCACCACTGCTGACCCTGAAGGTGTGCCTAGGCCTACAGATGTGGTGGCCTGTGAATTTCGTCCACTTAGTTCTGCCCCTGAACTCTTCACCTAATCGGGAGGAGGTTGCCAAGCGGGATCCCATCACACCCTCTTTCCCTTGGGCAGTTAGTCTGGGCTACAGGCTTCTGCTGCCCAGGGTTCTTCAGCGCCTAGCTGGACAGGGCTGGAGGGTACACGCCCGGGCGGGCATCCTACAGCGCCCCGGGCTCCCGCAGGCCCCGCCCCTTGCTGCGGAGACTTTAAAGCCGGGTGCTCGTGGGGGCGTGCTTAGAGGCTGGAGACCGTCTCTGCCGGAAATGCACCCACTATTTCGCTGCGCGTCCTGAGATTCCGCCCCAGGGCCGGCTCCGGCTGGGTTGGCTTTCCTGCCGCCGTTTGTCCCTCGCGAAGCCCCGTTGCCCGCCCGGGAGGCGTGACTAGGGGCTGGAAGCAGGCGGGCCGCGGAGCCGTGGGCCCGGGCTGCCGCTGTCATGGACGCCTGGGTCCGCTTCAGTGCTCAGAGCCAAGCCCGGGAGCGGCTGTGTAGGTGCGGCCGACGGAGGAGCGCGGGCGGGAGGGCAGAGCAGGTTCCCGCGAGGCGACGGGCGCGCTACGGGGTCCCTGAGGGTCAGCTCTGGCTACGGGGGCCCGCGCGGCCCGGGAGGCGCACTCTGCAGTCGGTTGTGACATGATTCTTTCCTGTTCACGGGAAAGATGGGGAAATTGAGGCATGAGTGGGCCAGCGGGGAGGCCGCCCAGGGTTACCGTGTCCACAAAGCAAGTTTCCTCACTGCTGTGGAGGCATGAGGGGCGATCCTCCCGGTTCTGCGTCCTCTACCCGGCTGTCACCTAGCAGCCGCGCTGTCTCGGCTCTCCTTCGGGTTCCGTACCGTTCAAGGAGCTTAGTCTCTTAGTTCCCCTGTCCCGAAGACTAGTTTGCCCTTCAACTAGATCGCCCTCCGTCGTGTTTCATATATAAACTCGCGTGTGGACGCCTGTGATGGATCCCGGCCGCTTACTGGCCCCTTTAGGCCTCACCATTTTCGAAACTCTTACTCTCTTAGCTCCAAATAGTGTTCCCCCATTCTCATAGGTTGTATTTTCCCCTCACGTCGTTCCCTTCCCCAGCCTTGAGGAGAAACGGAAAAATATTCGTGTGAAAAGGAGGAGGAAATGTCCCCGGAAGAGTTTTTTGTTTTCAGATTGATTATTATTTGTCGGAATGTTTTGTCTACAAGTATGTCTGTGCACACGTGTGTGTCTGGTGCCTGCAGAGGTCAGAAGAGGGTGATGGATGTCCTGGAGCTGGACTTTCAGGCAGTTGGGAGCCACCATGTGGGTGCTGGGAATGGAACCAGGTCCTCTGCAAGAGCAAGTGCTCTTAGCCGCCTCACCAGCCTGCTGGAGGACATTTTTGGCAGAGAGGTTAGGGAGACCTGTCCCTTATTTTCCTGTCCTCCCCTCCAGGGCTGCCCAGTATGCCTGTTCCCTTCTCGGCCATGCTTTGCAGAGACATGGGGCCAGTCCTGTGTTACAGAAGCAGATTCGACAGCTGGAAGGTCATCTGAGTCTTGGAAGAAAGCGTAAGTGCACCAAACCCTTTTTTTATCATTCCCAACTATGGGCCCATTGCCTCTCCTTCCTGTGTTTCCCCTTCCGCCAGTTTGCTGTCATTGGCTCTTCTGCATGCCTCCAACTGAGATTAGACAACAGGTATAAGAAAGTTATTTATAATGGATTGGAGACAATGGGGCAAGTAAAAACTAAACTGGGACAAGATTTAACTGTGATTTGAAGTTTAAAAAACAACAAATTATTTTTACTTTTTTATTGTATGTTATTACTGCTTGCTCAACTGTTACCCTTTTTCTTTCTTCTGCCCCCCACCTCCGCCTCTGCCTCAAATCCCTCGCTTTCCCCTGTTCTTCTCCACAAGTGCTCCGCCTGGGTAACTCGGCAGACGCGCTCGAGTCGGCCAAAAGAGCTGTGCACCTCTCCGACGTTGTCCTGAGATTCTGCATCACTGTTAGTCATCTCAACCGAGCCTTATACTTTGCCTGCGACAATGTTCTGTGGGCCGGGAAGTCCGGACTCGCTCCCCGCGTGGACCAGGAAAAGTGGGCACAGCGTTCATTCAGGTTTGGTTTGGTTTTCTCCTATAAGACTGTTTGTGGCCTCCATTCCACGTGGCTTGCACGCACGCACATTTATAATATTTTACTTTATGTGTATGGATGTTTTGCCAGCGTGTATGTCTGTGCACCAGTTATGTGTCTGTTGCTGGCAGAAGCCAAATGAGGACACCAGCATTGGAATTGCAGATGGTTGTGAGCTGTCGTGTGGGTTCTGGGAAAAGCAGAGGTACTTTTACTAAGCCATCATTCTATATGTTTTAAAAGAGAATTATGGCAGGAGAGGGACTGCACCACGGCACACATCTGTAGGTCAGAGGACAACAGACTCTCTCCTCCCACTGTGAGGTCCAGGGGCCAAGCTCAGGCCATCGGTCCGGCATGGCAATGCTCCCACCTCCCGAGCCAGCTCCCTGGCCCATAACTTGCTACTTATGAGACAGTAGTAGGTCAGGATATACACTTGGCTTTTCATAGCCATTGTTTCCACGTCTTTTGATTCAAGCAACTACAGATAGAAAACATCGAAGGGAAAGGTGCATCTGAATGGAACATGTGAAAGTGTTTTGTGTTGTTATTCCTCAGACGGTATAGTTATACAGAGAGATATAACATTTCTTTATATTGCATATATATTGTATTGGATATTATAAACAATCTGGAGGTGGATACAGGAGATTGGGTAGGTTATATATAAATGCAATACCATTTTATCTAAGGGATTTGAGCAGCTGTGGATTTGGGTGGGCGGAGTGCAGGATCCTGGAGTTAATCCTCCCATGGATGCTAGGACTATATATTATATATAATATATATACTATACATTAGTCATTCTTTTGTCTGTTTTTGAGGCAGGGTCTTACTTCGTAGTCCTGGTTGACTCACTGTATAGACTATACTGCTTTGAATTCACAGAGGTTTGCCTGACTCTGCTTCCAAAGATCTGGAATTAAAGGTGTGCGCCAGTATCTATCTTAACCGACCATTTGGTTTCCAATCTTCATTTGTATCTTAATCCATAAAAGAGTTACAATATCGTCCAGAAGTTAGATTTGCTGTGCCATACTAAGTGTCTTGAGATTGGAGGTGACAAATATTGTATTACTTTAGTTATATCCAAACCACAGATAGTCTGCCCTCATTGCCTTCCTACTCATTTATTCCATTTTTCCTTTAAAGAATTTTATTTATTATTAGTGAGGGGCGGGGGCAGGTGGCATTGCCACACCGTGTGTGGAGGACGGATTGCAAAGGTTGGTTCTCTCCTTCCACCATGTGGACCTCAAGGCTGAACTCAGGCCACCACATTTGTTGACAGAGCCCTTACCCTGCGGAGTCATTTTGCCTGTTTGGGTTTTTTTTTCATTGTTGTTATTTGTTTGTTTTGTTCTTTTTTTTTATAATTTTGCTTTGTTGTTGTTTTTGAGATAGGTCTCACTATATGCCCTAATTTAACCTTGAACTTAGGATTCTCCTGCTTGAAGCCTCCCAAACCCCAGTTAGGACAGGATTACAGGCATGTGATACCATGTCTAGTCCCTTTTTCTTTCATGATATAGGGGTCTTACAAGGCTGGGATTACACAGCTCTACAAGCAGGAAAAAACCTGAGTTAGATCCCTAGAATCACACCTGCACACACACAGACCAGGGATGGTGGCACGCTCCTGTAATCCCAGCAATGTGGAGGTTAAATCAGGAGGATTCCTAAGGCTCTCGGGCAAGTTTCAGGCCAAGTGAGAAACCCTGTCACAAAAAACAAGGTGGACAGTACCTGAGGAGTCTCCAAGGCTTCACATACACATGTGCATGCATGCATCTGCACACATGAAAGAGATGGGTCTCGTACATTGCTGAGACTGGTGCAGAATTCCTAGGTTCAGACAATCCTCCTACCTTAGCCACCTTAGTAGCTGGAACTCCATGAGTGCGCACCACCACCACTGTGTTTGGCTTTTCCAAAAATATTTCCTAGTTTCTTACTATGGGCCAGGAGATTAAGCAGAATTCAAACAGATGTAGTGTCTGATCCTTGAAACTTAAGGTCTGTGATGAGATGACTCAGTGAGTATAAGCAAGCAGACCCTGGGGCCCAGGTAAAGGTGGCAGAAAAGACCCACTCCACAGAGTTGCTCTGTGACTTCCATATGTGCGCATTGCACTTGTGCCCCGTCTCACATACGTACTGCTACACATCATGGTAATAAATAAAACAAGTGCCTTTAAAAAGAGAAAGGAAGCCAAGGCTCATGACAGTGTAGGTAGGGAGTCAGTTATCAACACAATTAATTATGCTGTGAGACGGTTGAATAGGTTAAAGGTGCTTGCTGGGTAAACCTGATGGTGAGAGAGTTGAGTCCTGCAAGTGGGCCTTCCATCTTCCACACCATACCACAGCATACCTGTGCCTACATATGTACATGCACACACACATGCACACACGCACACAGTTACAGTGATTATGGGGGATGCAGCTCATGGGTAGAGCTGTCTCGCTAGGTTTCACTGTAATTGGATGAGAAGAGAACAAGTGGATAATTTTAAGAACAGATGTGATGATGTGATTTACACTCATGCTACTAGCTTTCTCAAGCTCAGTGGTTGAGGTAGGGACAAGAATGGCCACAGAGAGACCAGTTAAAGGACCAGAGGTGATTGCGCTGACACTTGGACACAGAATCGTCATTTAATTTTTTTCCCCAAGGGGATAACAGAAAATCCCACAGTCTTTTTAAAGATTTATTTATATTAGTTATGTATGTATTTGTGTTGGCATGTGTGTGTATGAGTACAGATGCCTACAGGTGCTAGAGATGTTGGATCCTGCAGAAGCTGGAGTTACAGGGCTGTGAGCCACCTGACACAGGTGCTCAAAACCAGCCTTGAGTCCTCTGGAAGCAGTCCATCTCTCCAGCCTCTCAGGGTAGGTTTAAAACTAGGACAATTTATTGAGTGTAGATCACTGTTACTAGAGTAGATCAGAAGCAAAGCACAGGCTGTGGAGATGTCTAAGTCAAGTGTGTGGGTGCCCAGCACCCACATAAGCCTGCAGGAGTGACTCAGGCCTGTGACCCCAGTGCTGGGAGGTGGAGACGGGAGGACTCAGGGTCTCGTCTAGCCAGCCAGTCTAGCCAACCGGAGAGCACCAAGTTTAGTAAAAGACCCTGTCTCAAGATATAAGGTGGAGAGCAGTAGAAGACATCCGAGTCTACCTCTGATCTCTGCATATGTATACCTTGTTATACACCAAATACACACACACACACACACACACACACACACACACAGCCATCATAAGAACAAAGAAACCTGTGGCTTTTATATTTAAGACTTAGCTAATGTATGCCTGTAATCCAATACTAGGAAGGTTTAAGCAGGATGGAGAATTCATAGCCAGCCTGAACTACATAGGAAAGCAAATCCTGCCTTAAAACATAACAAAAATGTGCCAAGTGTGGTGGCACACACCTTTAATCCCAGTACTCGGGAACAAGCAGGTGGATTTCTATGAGTTTGAGACCAGCCTGATCTACAGAGTGAGTTTCTAGACAGGCAGGGCTATACAGTGAGACCCTGTCTTGAAAAGCAAAAACAAACAAACAAACAAAAAAGACTTTTGGGTTGGTCTGGGTATGGTGGTGTGTGCCTTTAATTCCAGCACTTGGAGACAAAGGCAGAGGGTCTCTGTAAGTTTGAGGTATGTCTTGTTTACATAGTGAATAATGTATATTTTTGTGCTTAAGGAATTTATTATCTAACATCTCTAGCAGTCACTTAATCTCTGGGCCTTTGGGGGGGGGTGGTCTTTTTTTTTTCTCTTAAAGATTGGATTTAAATCCTCTAAAGTATGTGTAAATCTTTTTTCTTCTCCCTTTTTTAAAACAGGGTTTCATGTAGCCCAGGTTATCCTTGAACTCCTGATCCTAAGTGTTGGGATTATAGGCATGCATCACCATTTTGGGCTGTATATATCTCTTGAAGAACTAAAGTTGTTCTTTCAAAATAGTTTGCTTTATGCCAGGCGGTGGTGGCGCACACCTTTAATCCCAGCACTCGGGAGGCAGAGGCAGGCGGATCTCTGTGAGTTTGAGGCCAGCCTGGTCTGCAAGAGCTAGTTCCAGGACATGTTCTAAAACTACAGAGACACCCTGTCTCAAAAAAACAAAAAACAAAAAAAAAATGTTTGCATTATTAGGGTCAAGTTAAATGTGTTTCCTCCCCCTGAGTGTGTGTGTGTGTGTGTGTGTGTGTGTGTGTATGTGTGTGTTTCATGTGTGTGTTTCATGTGTGTATTTTATGTGTGTATATGTAGTAACAAATATATGTGAATGCCTGAGCACATGTATGCATACAAGGCCCAAGCTTGGCTTCAGAAGTCTGTCTTTCTCCACCTTATTCATGTGGCAGGCCTTTCAGTTGACTCCGAGCTCACCTGTACAAGGCTAGTCCGACTAGCCATCTTATTCTGAGAGATTCCCTATTATCATGTTTTTTGGCATTTACATAGGTTCTGGGGATTTGAACTTGTGTCCTCACACTTGCATGGTGAGCCCATTACCACCGCCGTCTCTGCAGTTCAGTGTGTTATGTTTATAAGAATTGTCTCAAAATGAAATTAATCTTGGCAGATTTTATGACACAGATTTTAAGCCAGGATCTTAAGTTACATATAAATACATACTGGTTATAGAATAGTAGGAGAGTTCTTTTTTCTTTATTATTTCTGGGGTATAGCTGTATGTATTTAGGCATACAGTGTGGTGTCTTGAATATGTGTATTATGATGTGATCCCATACTCAGGATTGTTAACATACGTATGATGGGCTGGAGAGATGGCACAGCAGTCAGAGCACTGGCTCAGTTGGGCTCTATTGCTGTGAAGGAACACCGTGACCATGGCAACTCTTATAAAGGAAAGCATTTAACTAGGGCTGGCTTACAGCTATAGAGCTTTAGTTCATTATCATCATGGCAGGACATGGTGCTGGAGAGGGAGCTGAGAGTTCTACCTCGTGATCCACATACAGAAGGAGTCTATGCTGAGTGTAGCTTGAGCATAGATGAGACATTCAGAGTCCACATACACAGTGACACACTTCCTCCAGTGAGGTCACACCCACTCCAACAAGGCCACACCTCCTAATATTGCCACTCCCTATGGTCCAAACATTCAAACACATGAGTCTCTGGGGGCCATTCCTATTCAAACCTCCACACTGTTCTTCCAGAGGACAGGACAGGAGGGAGCTGCCAGCACCCACATGGCAGCTCACAACCACCTATAATTCCAGTTCCAGGGGATCTGACACCCTGTTCTGGCCTTCTTGGTGCCAGGCATACAGGCACACGGTGCACAAACACACATGCAGGTGAAACACTCATATACATAAAATAAATGACTGTTTAAATGATCATAACCTTATGGTGACATCTTTTTTTTTTTTTTTTTTTGATTTTTCGAGACAGGGTTTCTCCGTAGCTTTTGGTTCCTGTCCTGGAACTAGTTCTTGTAGACCAGGCTGGCCTCGAACTCACAGAGATCCACCTGCCTCTGCCTCCCGAGTGCTGGGATTAAAGGCGTGCGCCACCACCGCCCGGCTTGGTGACATCTTCTTAATTAGAGCACCTGAGCTGAGATCTCATTTAACAAGATTCAAGTGTGTGATGCAGTTGTGTAACCATAGTCGCCATGCTGTATGTCAGATGTACAGAACTTGTGTACTTTGTAGAACTGAATGTTTGTCCCATCGGCCAATGTCTTCCTGTTTCTCATACCCTCCAATCCTAGCAACCACCATCTTATTCCGTGCTCTGGTGAGTTAGGTAAGTGAGACCATGTGTCTTTCTGTATCGATTTATTGAACCTAACATATTGTCCAGAAGGAAGGACAGTTCTTTTCTTGGTGTTGCTGAGACTGAACTCAGGGACTCATGCATGCAAGGCAAATACTCTTACTAGTGAGCTACATTCCTACTTCTAAGGCAGGACATAGTTTTTAACTTTAAAAAAATAATTTGTTTATATTGTATATGTGCGTGCATGTGTGTGCCTTGGTGTCTGTGGAAGTCAGAGGACACCTTGAGGACATCAGTTCTATCTTCCATGTGGGTTCTGGGGATCGAACTTAAATCTTGGGGCTTGGCAAATGCTCTTATCCACTAAGCTGTCTCACCAGTTCCCAGAGTGGGCATCTCCAGTGGTGGGTTATAGTATTGGCTTCTGACATTCTGATGTGGAATCCCTTCTCAGTGCATGAGAAAAGGGTTTCAGTTTGTGTAGGGTGGGCTGAAAAGACTGCGTACCTGCCCTAACCTATGCATCTGCCCATGCATCCCAGGTACTACCTGTTCTCCCTCATCATGAATCTGAGCCGCGATGCTTATGAGATCCGCTTACTGATGGAGCAAGAGACCTCAGCTTATGGCCGGCGAATGAAGGTTTCTGGAGTCCCAGGAGGAGTTGAGACTGGGGGACCTGGAGGATCAGGGACTCCAGAGGGGTGCCTGCCACAACTAGCTCTGAAGTTTCGGCTCCGGGTCCTGCTCCTGGCACGTGTCCTTCGAGGTCACCCCCCTCTTCTGCTGGATGTGCTCAGAAACGCCTGTGACCTCTTTATCCCACTGGACAAACTAGGCCTCTGGCGCTGTGGCCCTGGGATTGTGGGCCTTTGTGGCCTCATATCCTCCATTCTGTCTATTCTCACCCTAATCTGTCCCTGGCTACGACTCAAGCCCTGACATTATGATACAAGATAAGGAGGGAGCTCAATTGGTGAGATGGAGTTTTAGATTGTCCCCATGTGGCATCCTCATCCTAATGTGACTCCTTAATTGAAGTTAGATCCAGATACTCAGGAATGAGGGGAGAACCTTGCCAAAGACGAGGTCAGGAAGGCGATGTCGCTGGAAAGACTCCAGCATGCCTCGAGAGGCGTTTGGGCTTCTCTGTCATTGCCCGAATCTCTTTGCTCTCTTCCTTTTTATCTGCCTTGAGTCTGGTTAAGAATTTGTCACCAAAAAAAAAAAAAAAAAAGAATTTGTCACCATGCGGCAGAATTGTCTTTCTTAGTCCCCTATCTGAACACTTAAACAGAATTCCTTCTTGGTAGGAGAAGCACACGTTTTGAGTAGTAAAGTGCTAATTGCATTCTTTTTCTGAAGCAGCATGGAGCATAGTGTTTTTCCTTCACACTCCATGATTTCATGTCCCAGCAGACTCTTCCCTCATATCTCTGCACCGAAGGCCATTTGACACTTCTCCCCTGTGTCTACCTCACCAGCCTCCTTCCTGATTTGGCACTGACCCTTCTCTCCTCCATACCTTCCCGTGTCTGCTAACACTTTGATATTAGAGTTCCTCCTCTCCTGGCTCTGCCCTTTCTTTAACTGTCCAGGTTGATGCTGTGTCTGGCCTCTCACTGTAAATACTGTACAATGAATCTCTGTAAATAGCTGTGGTCCATGCCCACAGTGCAGGCAAGCCTTCCAGGTCAGCACATTAAAGATCGGTTTGCTCACTGACTTACTTATTCATTTTCAAGATGGGGGTCTCATCTGTTACACCCAGGCTGGCCTGAAAGTCTGAGTTCTCTTGCCTCAGGCTTTTGAGTAGGTAGAAGAGCAGGTGTGTGCCACTCTGTCCAGCTGCGCATTGACATCTGGTCTGGCCTCTCAGTTTCTGTGACTATGGATGGGTTTCCATGGCATTGGCAACTAACATCCTTACAGGTTTTCATTGAAAATTTAAGTCTTGGGGGAAAGTAGTAGGTAGTGGACAATCAGAAGTACTAAGATGTTTCTACCATTCCTGAGACATTTATAGCCTCCTTAAATTGGGGGTGGGATATTTTAAACCAAAGTAATTATATCGGTGCTACAAAGCACACCTGTTCACAGTCAAAGACTCTCCAGAAGCTTTAAACACACAAGCATGACCAGAGAGCGCAGTGGACTGGCAAGGTCACACAGCAGGAGGACACAGCTGTCACTGCTGTCGGCTTTTATTCTACATATCTCAGGTTGAGATTAATAAGGCGAAAAGAATTTGTCTCTAACTCCTACTTTCTGTTCCAAACGGGAGGAAATCACTATTGAAAATATAAACAGTGGGAAATGTAGCCTCAGAGAGGGTTCAAAGCTGTGTTCTCTTTGAATATAAGCTGAGGCCTCCAGGGGGCAGCACCAAGGCAGAGACTGGACTAAGATCCCTCTGTCTTCTTTGACTGGGGCTCCCCACAGTTCCCCACCACCACCCCTCCCATTCCGTCCAACTTTATTTTTAGCTGCCAGTGGGAGGGGGCAGGATAGGAGGGAAAGTAAAGAAAACAGCAAAGGAGAGGGACAGAGAGGCACAGAGGACTTCTTGAAACAAGACAGGACAAGCAGGCATGGCGCGCCTCTCCTCTCCTCACCTGTTCTTGTCCCTGGCGTTGCTGACAGGTGAGGAAAGCAAACTTCCTGGTTTCCGGTGGGAATGGAAGATACCTGAATTGTTTAGAATTGGGACCATACGGTTAAAATTATTTGGGAGTTTGGGTCAGAGGTTAATATTGATACCATATTTTGCATGTGAACTCATATTTTTAGACTCCCCAATGGCAGGGGTTGAAGCTGCCTAAGGCTTGAGTAAGATTTGTACCTAGTTATCTAACACCTTTGCCCTAAACTCCATATAAATGGAGATGCAGAATAGAACCACGTCTCTCCTCTTACATGCAGCTAGCATGATCCCTACAGTCACCCTCCCGGCCTCTCCCTACCACTGGTACTCCCTGGTGCCGAGGCATAATCGCCTTACTATGTGGTCAGAACTCTGGGTTCATCTAGTGAGTTCCTGGTCTTACAACCCTGTTTCCCGGATGCAAAGAGGCTCTCATACAGAATACCTTCTGAAAGTGAGCTCGGTTTGAATCAAAAGTTAGAGATGCTGGAGGGTGGGCGTAGGGTGAGAGAGGGTTGCTTGAACGTAAGGAGCAAGACAGTGGGAGAGAGAAGCACGGGAGGGACACGAGGCTTGGAATTTTTCTCTGCAAATACCCTATAATCTTTGTTTCCTAAAATACCCGCTCTGATTTTATGGGAATTGGGGTCAGAAGAAAGGGATCGGCAAGGACACAATTGGGGACCTTCGGAGTGAGCTAAAGTTTGAGGGAATTGTGGGAGTGGGCAAGAGGTAGTTGGGAGGTGGAGGAGATAAGCAACAAATTATGGGGGAGTATTTTTTGCCGGGGGATAGGACCCTAACAAGGATAGATGGCAAACTATGTGTGTGGGCAGGCTGGTGGTTCCGCCCAGTTAATTAGCACTGAGGTTTGCAGGGCTGGAAGCCACCAGCGTCCTAGACCCTGGAGAAAGTGTAAGTGTGACAATGTCAAGGCACGGAAAGAGGAGACACCCAGACGGGGAGCTCCTCGCCCTCCTCTTCTCCCCATGGCCCGGGTTCGGGAAGAACTTGGAAGGGGTGGTTGTGCGGCTGCGCAAAGGCCCGCTCCCTCTTTGGACTCTGATGGCCTAGGAGGGTGTGTAGGAGGGATGATGTGGAGAGTAACCCGACCTTTCCAGACGTGTCTGTGAATGAGATCTCAGGAGTGGGAACGAAAGTGCAGCTGTGCTTCAGCATGGCCGAGGGCCTCAGAACCCCCACGCAGGGAGAGTCGCCCCATCACCCCACCTGGGGCTTTAGTACATGACATCGACAGAGGCCAGGTGAGCTTTAAGCAATCAGGCAGCCACACTGAGCTGGAGATGCACCCTCCTGTCCTGGGCATCACTGTGCCGCTCCCGTCCTTCAACTGGCCAGCTGATGCTAATTCTGATCCTGGCCTTCCAGGTCTCTGCTCCCCCTTTAATCTGGATGAGCGCCACCCACGCCTGTTCACAGGGCCACCAGAGGCTGAATTTGGATACAGCGTCTTGCAGCATGTTGGGGGTGGACAGCGATGGTGAGAAGGAAATCGGAGGACCACAGGATTGGATACAATATTCTGTCTGTGTGTATGCTAGCAGACCAGAAGAGGGCACCAGGCCCCATTACAGATGGTTGTGAGCCACCATGTGGTTACTGGGAATTGAACTCAGGACCTCTGGAAGAGCAGGCAATGCTCTTAACCTCTGAGCCATCTCTCCAGCCCCGCACTTTCCCTCTTGTCTATATTAAGAATCATATTTGCCAGGTGGTGGTGGCACACACCTTTAATCCCAACACTCGGGAGGCAGAGGCAGGTGGATCTCTGAGAGTTCGAGGCCAGCCTGGTCTATGTAGAGCTAGTTCCAGGACCTGCTCCAAAGCTACAGAGAAACCCTATCTTGACAAATAGAAAGAAAGAAGAAGAAAGAGTCATGTTCACCTGATGCTTATATCCATATTCCCCTCAGGATGCTGGTGGGCGCCCCTTGGGATGGGCCTTCAGGTGACCGGCGGGGGGATGTTTATCGCTGCTCTATAGGGGGATCCTACGATGCCCCATGTGCCAAGGGCCACCTGGGTAAGAAGATGCCCAACTCTTTCTTTGCTAATCCCTGATTCTGATACCCAGGAGCCGAGTCCTTGTGTGTCAGCTTCTTTGCCTCCATAACCTATACAGACCTTGCCTTCAACTTGATACAGATTCCTTTTCATTCTCCTCCCAAATTGCACTGAACTCGAGCACCCAACCTTTGACCCCGACTTCATTCTCTTCTACCCCTCCTCCACCCAGGAGACTATCAACTGGGAAATTCATCTCAGCCGGCCGTGAATATGCACCTGGGCATGTCGCTACTAGAGACAGATGGTGATGGGGGATTCATGGTGAGCTAAAGGGTCTCTGAAGGTTCATGGCAGGGAAAAGAGAATATGGTAAGGAGAGTTAGTCTATATAGAAGAGCCAAGGAGTTTAAAATCCCTAGAGAGCAAGATAGGATACCCATGGAGTGATCTTAGTGCCTTTTTTTTTTTTAACTAGATGCATGTCTGAGGAGCCCTTCTTAGATCTGGGAATAACTATCTCCCTTGCCCACCTGTGCCCCAGGCCTGTGCCCCTCTCTGGTCCCGTGCTTGTGGCAGCTCTGTCTTCAGTTCTGGACTGTGTGCCCGTGTGGATGCTTCATTCCAGCCCCAAGGAAGCCTGGCACCTACTGCCCAACGTGAGCCGGTGGAAGGGCCTGGGAACTCAGTTTTCAGATGGGGGTGCTGGGTGGGGAAAACAGAACAAAAGACTTAGCAGAGGATCTGCATGGCTCTCCTCACCATCCCCAGACTCAGCAGAGGGTCTGCATGGCTCTCCTCACCATCCCCAGACTCAGCAGAGGGTCTGCATGGCTAACCTTACCACCCCCAAACTTAACAGAGGTCTCTGCATGGCTAACCTCACCATCCCCAGCTGTGCTTGCAGCAGAATCTGCTGCTTGCTAACAGATTAGAATTCAGACTCCTGACTGGAGTGTCAAGACACCAGGATCTGGCTTAGGGTTTCAACTTAAAAAACCCAGTTATCCTCCGTACATCCTGTGCCCCACCCATTACATTTACCTTATTATTCCTCTGGGTGCCGTTTATTTATACCTGTATTTCTCATTTACAATGTTCTCTACCCCGGTACATTTTCTCAGAATCCTCAATATCTTATTTTTGTGGGTCTTATGCATTCCAAGTGAGCACTCAGCTATTGAGTTCTCCCCCAGTCCTTCCATAGATTTGCTGCCTTTTTGGACATAGTTTTATCATATAGCCCAGGATACCCTTGAACTTGGGATTTGCCTGTCTCAGCTTCTCAAGTACTGGCATAGTAGACATGTACTGTCATGCCCGACTCTGCTGCCTCTTTGGTTTACCACTATCAGAAGGACCCTCCGGGCTGGACCTGACCCTCAGTGGCACATAGATAGAGCATGAATAGAGCCCTTAGTTCAGTTCCCACACACACACACACGAACCAAAGTGATGCTCTTTTGGTCTCCCATGGCGTAGATTGGTGGTAGGTTTCTATCTGGTGCAGATTTCATCCTTCACACTTGCCCATCTCTTCTTTCATTCATTCCCACACTTAGGAGCCTGGCACGGTCCTTCCTTGCATGTAAGAAGTCCTAATAGTTGCTTACATTGACGCGTCCTCCTGTGACATTTTCCCTTGTTGGCTCCCCACCCCCCAGCATCCTTCCAGTCTTTGCTTCCCATTGCTATACTCCCCCTTCTAGGCTGTCCAACATACATGGACGTCGTCATTGTTTTGGATGGCTCCAATAGTATCTATCCCTGGTCTGAAGTTCAGACTTTCCTTCGGAGGCTGGTAGGGAGACTCTTTATTGATCCGGAGCAGATACAGGTAAGTGAGGGACACATGGATGGGTTTGGAGGGAAAGAGATAGAACCTCATGGTCCGTCCGCTCAGTGTAATCAGGCATGTCCAACCTCTTGACATCACACTAGGACATTGTCATCTACAGAACTTATGCTCAAGAATTGTGTAATTAAGTTTCCAAAAAGACACAAAGATCTCATGATGTTTGACGTAAGTTGAGGATTTTGTATGGGCCACATCCATAGCTGTCTTTTGCCGTATGCAGTTGCTTGGGACCCACAGGCTGCAGACTGGACCTGCCTGCGAGGTGTTCATTTCCCCTCCATCCCTTGTTCTCCATTGTCTCCATCCTCTACAAACATCCCATTGGAGGACATGGTTTACTGTTTTCAGGTAGGACTGGTACAGTATGGGGAGAGCCCTGTGCACGAGTGGTCCCTGGGAGATTTCCGAACCAAGGAAGAAGTTGTGAGAGCAGCAAGGAACCTCAGCCGGCGGGAGGGGCGAGAAACAAGAACTGCCCAAGCGATAATGCTGGCATGGTGAGGCATGGTGAAGGGATGTGGGAGGATGAAGGATCGGCACGCCGCGAGAGGGTCTGGGATATAGTGTGTACGTCACAAGATGGTCTGTGTGCCTATCTTTATCCACAGGCCAGACACCAATGGAGGAAGGCTCGGTTGGCTGCTGGCCCAGTACTCTCTGAGTGTATCTCACAGTGTCTCTGAGTGTATCTCACAGTGTCTCTGAGTGTATCTCACAGTGTCTCTTACTGTATCTCACAGTCTCTCTTACTGTATCTCACAGTCTCTCTTACTGTATCTCACAGTGTCTCTGAGTGTATCTCACAGTGTCTCTGAGTGTATCTCACAGTCTCTCTTACTGTATCTCACAGTGTCTCTGAGTGTATCTCACAGTCTCTCTTACTGTATCTCACAGTGTCTCTGAGTGTATCTCACAGTCTCTCTTACTGTATCTCACAGTCTCTCTTACTGTATCTCACAGTGTCTCTGAGTGTATCTCACAGTGTCTCTGAGTGTATCTCACAGTGTCTCTGAGTGTATCTCACAGTCTCTCTTACTGTATCTCACAGTCTCTCTTACTGTATCTCACAGTGTCTCTGAGTGTATCTCACAGTCTCTCTTACTGTATCTCACAGTCTCTCTTACTGTATCTCACAGTGTCTCTGAGTGTATCTCACAGTGTCTCTGAGTGTATCTCTCCTCGTCTGTCTGTTTCTGTGACCAGAGCCCCATCTCTTCTCTGCTATTTCCATGTCAATTCTGATCCTTAGCTTTTTAGCCACTCGTGTCCTAACCTCCTTTCCAAACACGATCCTAAACTGGCCTCCGGGGAGACTGCCTGACACCATGACTAGTGTCTATTCTCCATCTCCTTGATCTTGTCAACCAAAACACAACGTTCACTGAATGAATCTATGAATGAATAAAGCTGGCACTAACTTACACTGATGATAGGTTATTCTATATTCTATATGTTCTGGGCACCCAAACATTCAAGCCGTGACTTTGTGCCAGTTTGCATGTTAACACTGTTGGAGAATGGCCTAGAAGACACAACATCTGACCTCAGTGAATGGATAACAGTGTTAAATACATATGTGTGTGTGCAGAGCGTGTGTATACTCACATGCACACGTACATGCATGACCGTATTTCATTTTTTTCTTTTCTTAGCACAGAAGGGTTCAGTCAGTCCCGGGGCGGCAGACCTGAAGCTGCAAGGTTGCTGGTGGTTGTCACTGATGGGGAATCTCATGATGGAGAGGAGCTTCCAGCCGCACTAAAGGCCTGTGAGGCTGGAAAAGTAACACGTTACGGGATCGCGGTGAGACTTGACTCTGGTGCTTTCTGGTTTTGTTTTGTGTTGTAGTGCGTGTGTATTTGTATGGTGTGTGTTGTTTGTTGTGTGTATGTGCGTGTGTGTGCATGCATGTGTGCACATACCATGGTGTATATATATGGAGGTCAGAGAACCACATCATATGTCGGTACCTTCCACCTTGTTTGAGACTGGGTACCTTGTTCAGCTGCATACTCTAAGCCAGGCGAGCTGGCCCACAGGCTTGGTCAAGTCTTCTGACTCAGCTTCCTGTCTCCTGGTAGGGGCATGCTGGGATTGCAGATAAGCCTGAGCTACTGTGTCCAGCATTTTCTGTGGGTCTGGGGATCTAAACTCAGGTTGTCAGTTTGCATGGCAAGCACATTACTCCTCGAGTCATCTCCCAGACCAAGAATCGACTCTGGAGCTAAAAAGAGAGATGGAGAAAGGTTTTCTAAATATGTAACAGAGAAAATAGTATTAGCCACCGCCTGGACTTCAGCCGTTGTTTCCTCCCCTTTTCTTTAGTTGGCTCTAACAATTTACTTCACACAGCTAATAGACCCCCATCTTGAACTCAGGTCCTCGGTCACTATCTCCGGCGACAGAGAGACCCTAGCTCTTTCCTTCGGGAAATCAGAGCTATCGCTAGTGATCCAGATGAGCGGTTCTTCTTTAATGTCACAGATGAGGCTGCGCTGACAGACATTGTGGATGCACTGGGAGACCGGATATTTGGTCTGGAGGGTAATGATTATCGGGGTGAAGTGGAGGACCGTGTTGGGGGCATTCTAGAGTGAATCCAGTGCAGCGAGCTCCCCTGAGCGCTTTGCGATTTATTTATGCCCAAGGGTCCCGTGGGGAAAACGAAAGCTCCTTTGGGCTAGAAATGTCTGAGATTGGCTTCTCCACCCACCGATTACAGGTTGGACAGACCCTGACCCTCTGCAACACCCCTGAACTCTTGATCTTTTCATAATCCTCTCCAGCTTCTGACTCAACTTAAACCCTAAGGCCCCTCCAGATTTCTCCTTTAACCCGCCTAGTCCCTGCCCTTCCGTGCTTTTCTGTGAGCATCTTACTCCTGGAGACTTCATTTTTCTCCTGTTCCCCACTGTCTTCTCAGTGTCCTCATTCGGTTCTGCCCCTCAGGATGGGATTCTCTTTGGGATGGTGGGGGCCTATGACTGGGGGGGCTCGGTACTATGGCTTGAAGAAGGTCGCCGCCTTTTCCCCCCACGAACGGCCCTGGAAGATGAGTTTCCCCCTGCCTTGCAGAACCATGCAGCCTACCTGGGTGAGTAACAGAGTTGCAGGGACCTGGGAGGGTGGGGGAGACCCAGTAGGGTGGATGAGGCACTCCTTGTTAAGTCAGGCAGTTTTTCCACTGATCTCTCTTGAGAACTCACCTTAAGCCTTTAGCACATCCTCCGCTCTCATCTCATCCTCTTTCCCTCTGGCATCTGATCCCTGCTCTCTTCTAGGTTACTCTGTTTCCTCCATGCTTCTGCCCGGTGGCCGCCGCCTCTTTCTCTCGGGGGCACCGAGGTTTAGACATCGAGGAAAAGTCATCGCCTTCCAGCTAAAGAAAGATGGATCTCTGAGGGTCATCCAGAGCCTCCAGGGGGATCAGGTATGACATCAAGGGAGGGTGAGACCCTTGGGTCCCCGGGACTGCCAGGCTGAGGGTGCTGAGGGTGCTGCGTTCTGGTAGGCAGTCTGTGAGGGAGGTAAGGCCCAGGTGGACAGGGTGCTGAGTACTTCCTGCTGAGCCCAGCTGTCACAATCCTTACCTTCCCTCTTCTCTGGGCTCATCACCACCCACCTCACCCAGATTGGCTCATACTTTGGCAGTGAGCTCTGCCCATTGGATACAGACAAGGATGGGATAACTGATGTCTTACTTGTGGCGGCCCCCATGTTCCTGGGTCCCCAGAACAAAGAGACTGGACGTGTGTATGTATATGTGGTGGGCCAGGTAAGAATTGGTGGGACCCTCTAGAATATGTGTGGGGAATGGGAAGGGAGGAAAGGGAGAGACACAGGTGTCTTAGAGCTTGCTGGTGGGTGAGGGTCACCAGGTAAACAATTCCTTCTATCTCCTCACGACTACAAGCAAATTTTGCTGATGCTCCAAGGAACCCTTCAGCCAGAACGTCCCCAGGATTCTCGTTTTGGCTTTGCCATGGCTGCTCTTCCCGATCTGAACCAAGATGGTTTCACTGATGTGGCTGTGGGGGCTCCCCTGGAAGATGGGCACCAGGGAGCGCTATACCTGTATCACGGAACCCAGAATGGAATCAGGCCCCATCCTACCCAGGTTAGCAGTGCTGGGGTTCATCCCAGAAGGTGGATCTCTGAGTTCAAGGCCAACCTGGCCCACATAGTGAATTCCAGGCTAGCCAGGACTACAGGCCAGCGAGATGTTGTCTCAAAAACAAAAACAAACAATTGAAAATGGGACACAGTGGTAGAAAGGGAAGGGAGTTGTGTGTGTGTATGTGTGTGTGTGTGTGTGTGTGTTTTGTTTTTTTGTCATCCACTTGGCTTAAGAGTCAAACCAAGCAAGTGGCTGCATTCATAGATTGCCAAGGGAGACGGCGAATGAGGGATCTCCGAGATAGGCAAATTTTTCTTCTTCTCTTGATGGATGGGAATGTTAGAAAGGAGGACAGAGAAGCGGCTGTAAGTCCTTCCTAAGGCTTTCTTCTCCTCCTTTCAGCGGATTGCTGCTGTATCCATGCCACAGGCCCTCCGCTACTTTGGCCGAAGTGTGGATGGCCGGTTAGACCTGGACGGAGATGATCTTGTGGATGTTGCTGTGGGTGCCCATGGGGCAGCCATCCTGCTCAGGTGAGGGCTTCTGCTTGGGTAGCAGTGCACAGTGTTCTAGTTCATAGAAGGAAAGGAATTGTCAGCGGATCTCTGTAAGTTCGAGGCCAGCCTGGTCTACAAGAGCTAGTTCCAGGGTCCAGGACAGGCTCCAAAGTTACACAGAGAAACCCTGTCTCGAAAAATAAAAAAAAATAAAAAAAAATAAAAAAAAAAAAAAGAGAGAGAGAGAGAGAAAAAAAAAAACTGATTGTCACCATCTTACTGGTTTATTGTAAATATCAAATAGGATAGTCCACATAAAGAGTTTTAAGTGTTTATTTTTATTCTATGTGTATGGGTGTTTTGCCTATGTGTATTTCTGTTCACTGTGTATGTGTGCACTATGTATGTGTGCACTGTGTATGTGTGCACTGCACGTGGAGACCAGAAGAGGGTGTCAGATCCCCTGGACCTGGAGTTTTACAGCTGCCCTTGAGCTGCCCTGTGGGTGCTGGAATCCTCTGGAAGGACAGCCAGAGTGTTTAACCCCAGCCATCTCTCCAGCCTGACATCAGTGCTTAGTGACTCGAATGTATTAGGCTTCTGGGAAAGGTGACATATTCAGTCTTAATATTATTTTTCTTTCTTAATCACGGAAAGCAAGTACTAAGGTTGCGATTCTCATCCTTTTCTGTTCTTCTGGTTCTGAAGTGCAAGCTCAGATGCTCAAGAGCTCCACCACTGAGCTCCATCTCCATCTCCATCTGGGGCTGTCCTTTACAATTTCTCTCCCACCTCGTTCCCAGCTCCCAGCCCATCATACACCTGCTGCCAACCCTGGATGTGAAGCCGCCGCACATCAGTGTGGTTCAAAAGGACTGTAGGCGAAGAGGCCAGGAAGCAGCCTGCCTCACTGCAGCCCTGTGCTTTCGAGTGACATCTCACACTGCAGGGCGATGGGACCGCAGATTCTGTGAGTGAGCCCAGACAGCCCAGACAGCCCTCAAGTCCTGGCCCACCCTGGCGTCTGCATCTGTCTCCATTCTCACGCTCTCCTCTCCCATCCAGACATCCAGTTCTCGGCATCACTGGATGAGTGGACAGCTGGGGCACGTGCAGCATTTGATGGCTCGGGCCAGCGGCTGTCGCCTCGGCAGCTCCAGCTCAGTGTAGGGAATGTCACCTGTGAGCAGCTGCACTTCCACGTACTGGTGAGGACGGAGCAGGCATGGCTTGGCATCTCTGCATCGGGCCTGAGAGTCAGGGGAAGCCTGGGTCCTGGTGGAGTTTCAGACAGATCTAAAGCAGCCAAACTAAAGCAGAGAGATTGAGACAATTCAGATTTGGGGGGTCAGGATGATAGGATTGGAATCCTAGCTCTATAATGTGTCACTATGAACTCTGCCAAGGTACTGATCTGCCACATCCCATGTCCTTGACCGAAAGGGATGACTACATATATATATATTCAAAAGAGTTGTATTTGAGTCACATTCCATCATATTGTGACCACCTTGGGACACAGTGCCCAGGACATAGGAAGTGCTTCATGGACGGTCACATGTACCATATTCTGCAGAGGTCTGGCTTCTACTCTAACCCTGGTTCCCCATGATCTGCCCTTCACTCTGCTCTCCCTCAGGATACATCGGATTACCTCCGGCCAGTGGCCTTGACTGTGACTTTTACCTTGGACAACACCACAAAGCCAGGGCCTGTGCTGGATGAGGGCTCGTCCACCTCTGTCCGAAAGCTGGTTGGTAGTGTCATGCCCTGCTCTGTCTGGGGTCCCAGTGCTGCCCTCCCAGTGAACTTAAGAGAAGGGGAGGCCACATACACATGGTGAAATCTTAGCCAGGCTCTGGTGATCAAAATATAGCCTCTGTTTACTTTTCCCCAATTCAAGTCTGTTCTCTTTGCCTTCCGTCCGTCCTCAGACCCCTAACTCTCTTCTAGGTCCCCTTCTCAAAAGACTGCGGCCCCGACAATGAATGTATCACAGACCTGGTACTTCAAGCGGACATGGACATCAGGGGCTCCAGGTTAGATGGACATGAGCTAGGGAAACCAAAAGGGAGTCGAGGGAGCTAGAGAGTTGTTGTTTTGAGACAGGTTCTCCCTATGTATCCCTGGCTGTCCTGGAGCTTGCTCTGTAGACCAGGCTGGTCTTGACCTCACAGAGATCCACCTGCTTCTGCCTCCCAAGTGCTGGGATTAAAGGCCTGCATCACCGTGTTGGAAGTGAGACCTTTGATTCTCTTTTGCCTCTTAGTCTTTTGTTTATCTCCAATTCTTAGGAAGTCCCCATTTGTGGTTCACGGTGACCGACAGAAACTGCTGGTGTCAGCAACCCTAGAGAACAAGAAGGAAAATGCCTACAACACTAGCCTGAGTCTCAGGTTCTCTAGAAACCTCCACCTGACCAGTCTTACTCCACAGGTATCCCCGGTGGAAGGGGCTGAGGTGAAGGGGAGGAGAAAGATGAGAATATGAGCGTTGGCTATGGGGTGCTTGAAGAAAGACTCAGTGTTTAGCGTCTTAGTGGGTGGAAGAGCAGCTCTGGCCCCGGCTCTAACTTTCTCCTCATCCCTCTGCCTTCAGAGAGCCAAATCAGTGAAGGTGGAATGTACTGTCCCTTCCCCCCATGCCCGGGTGTGCATCGTGGGCCATCCAGTCTTCCAGGCGGGGGCCAAGGTGAGTGTGGGCCCACAATGAGAACAAAGTGGGGTCTGGGGTCCACGGGCGTGGAAATTCTGGGGAGGAGGTAGGCGGGGGCTTGTTCTTCTGTGGTTTATCCACAAGGAAGAATTTATCATTATTCCATCCACGTCCCTTACCCCCAGGTGACCTTTCTGTTAGAGTTTGAATTTAGCTGCACATTCCTCCTGAGCCAGGCCTTGGTGAGGCTGACTGCCAGCAGGTGAGAACACGGGAGCTCCCTCCAGCCCCCCTACCCCTCTCATGGGTCTTGACAGAAAGAACACCCCCAATTCCTCTAGAAGTAGAGGGGGGTCCCTGAGGAGGGACTGGAATGTGAAAGTCTCCCCCTTGACCCTACAGCGATAGCCTGGAGAGAAATGAGACCCTTCAGGACAATACAGTTCAGACCTCTGCCTACATCCGATACGAGCCTCACCTCCTCTTCTCTAGGTATGGCCGAGCTCCCTACAGTCTTCATGTGCCCCCCCCCGCCCCCATCCTTCCTTGTTCTCCAGTCTTCCTAGGAGCACAAACTGTTAACCTTTGCTCTTAAGCACCTTATTTTCCTGGGCTTTGTCAGGTCCTGATAAAGAGATATGGGGATACGATCGCATGATTTTTTTTTATCAAGTTTGTGTTACATTCAGTTACCTTCTTCGTCATGCATCCCTATCTCATTATCCATGTGCTGACCCTGCCTTCCCCGAATCCATGTTTGTATGCCGATCATGTGGCCTGTGCCATTGTCATGGCCACACCTCTTGGTTTGGTGTCCACACAGTGAGTCCACCCTACATCGATACGAGGTTCACCCTTACAGGACTCTCCCAGTGGGTCCTGGCCCTGAATTCAAAACCACTCTGAGGGTGAGCAGCTTTGGGGGGAGGGGAGGATGGCATGCTGGTGGGAGTTGGCTCGTTAGGGGTGTGAGTGTGAAAACAGCAATAGCTGTGTGGGGAAAGGATGAGAAGAGTGGTCCTGGAGTGGCTGAGGTCTCTTGTCCTTGCCTCTCTTTCTTCTCCCAGGTTCAGAACCTTGGCTGTCATGTGGTCAGTGGCCTCATCATCTCAGCCCTCCTTCCAGCTGTGGCCCACGGGGGCAGTTACTTCCTGTCACTGTCTCAAGTCATCGCCAGCAATGTGAGTCTGGGCTAGAGCACACGGAACCCTGCCATCCTGAACCAGGGGACTCCTTCTGCTGGCCCACTGCTCTCAGAGCTCGTCTTCCTGGGACCCTTCTTTTCCCTGCGGGCTTGGGAGGAAGGAAGATATTATGCATAGCAGGGGTCTAGGAGGGGCTGGTTTGGGAGCCTTTCCAGTTGAATCTTCCTTTAGGCAAGCTGCACAGTGCAGAATCTGACTGACCCCCCAGGACCCCCTGTGCACCCAGAGGAGCTTCAGCACACAAACAGACTGGTAGGAGTCCCTGGAAGCTGTCTGAGCAGGAATGCATGTAGAGATTGGTGTCTGGTGAAAGGTGGGTGGGAGTGGAGATGGGAGGGGGAGCGCTCCCTCCAGGGTCCTGATTCGTCTCTCTTCGGATAGAATGGGAGTAACACTCGGTGTCAGGTGGTGAGGTGCCACCTTGGACAGCTGGCAAAGGGGACTGAGATCTCTGTTGGACTGCTGAGGCTGATTCACAACGAATTCTTCCGGAGGGTAAATCTTTTCATCTGTTCTGCTTCTATCAGAAACATTAACATGGAGGTGACAGACTCCTGTTTAAGTTTACCTCCCTCTGTTTGACCATAAGCAAGTGATTTCATTTTCATAATCTTTCTTCCTGATTTTTTTGTTTGTTTGTGGTTTGGTTTTTTGTTTGTTTGTTTGTTGGAGACAGGGTTTCTCTGTGCAGCCCTGGCTGTCCTAGAACTCACTCTGTAGACCAGGCTGGCCTCAAACTCACAGAGATCCAGCTTCCTCTGCCTCCCAAGCTCTGGGATGAAAGGCCTGAGCCACCATGCCTGGCTTTTACCAGGTTAAAATGAGAATGATTGTACCTAGCTTGTGGAATTGATATAGGGAGGTAATGAGGTGGACCTATGGCAAGCCCTCGATAGAGCAGAGCAACCGCTCTTGTATTTTCCTCTACTTAGCAGCCCTTAACTGCATCGTAAGAGTCAATTAATAAAATTCCCACATCTAATCACTAATTCATCAGGCTAGTGTGGTAATGTACATCCTTAATCTCAGCACTCAAAAGGCAGAGGCAGATGGATCTTTACGAGTTCAAAGTTCATGGCTAGCCTGGTCTATGTAGCAAGTCCCACGCCAGCCAGCCACTCTGATGAGCCCATGTGCGCACACACGCGTACACACACATACACCCCTACACACACACACACACACACACACACACCCCTACACACACACACACACACACACACGAGCACATACACGTGCACGTACCCACTCACATTCCGTCAAGTGCCTGTTACAGGAATAATTCTAAGTAATAATTCTTAATAATTGTAAGTCATCAGTGGGGAGTCTAAGACCTATCATGTATCATGTCTAATTCATTGCAGGTGTTTAATACTTTTTTGTTAAACAAATGAATATGATAATTGATATTATTTACAGTAAAGTAAAATTGCATACTCAAGAGGGATTTAGATTATGAAAGCCTCTGAAGCTAGAGAGATGAAATTGAATTTACTATGATGGTCGGTGCTCAGAAGTCAGTGGGAGCAGGGAACTAGCACCTTAATGGTAAATGGCTATTTAGTACTAGGTGTTTATATTGTTTAATAATACATGTAACAACCACCTTCAATATTGCAAGAGCTCTGGGTAATAAGCATAAGCCTTAGGTGAGCTAAGACAAATCATTCCTCTTCACATCTGGTACTCTCTCTAGCTTTCTTGGTCATCTTGTCAGATTCAGCTGTGTGTTCGTGTGTGTGTATGCACACATGTGCACAGGTGTGTTCGTTGTGTGTGTATGCACACGTGTGCACAGGTGTGTTCGTTGTGTGTGTGTGACTGAGGATGGTATTAGCAGCCTCAGGAATATGGTGTAAGCATTCTACCATTGACCACCCCCAGACATTTTTATTATTTAAAATTTTTTCAAGATTTATTTTTATATGCACATATGCGTGTCTATATGTAAGTGTGTGTGCTTGTTTGTGAGTGCTCACCGGGTACAGAAGAAGCCATTGGGTACCCTGAAGCCAGGGTTACAGTAATCTGGGTGCTGGGACTGAACTCTGGTCCTCTTCAAGAGCAGCAAATTCTTACTGGCTAACCCATCTCTTCATCCCCCACCCTGAGGGTTTCAATGAGTCTCTGCATTTAGTCTTGACCTGATTCAGTCTCCTGAGTGCCGGGGTTACAGGTATATACCACCATAGCTAGCTTAATGACTTCCATGGCAAACCTTTGTTAAGAAGTCACGAGGGGGTTGTGGGGTGACTCAGTAGATAAAGCATGAGACTTGAGTTCAGACCCCAGGACTCATATAAAAAGCTGGATGCAGTGACATGTGCTTGTAATCCCAATGATGGGGACATAGGAGGGTGATTCAGGTACACCCCAGAAGCTCACTGGCTCCCTAGTCTCACCTACTTGACAGTGTTAAAAAAAGAAACAAACGGGGCTGGAGAGATGGCTCAGTGGTTAAGAGCACTGACTGCTCTTCCAGAGGACCCGGGTTCAATTCCCAGCACCTACATGGCAGCTCACAACTGTCTGAAGATCAGTTCCAGGGGATCTTCACACCAATGCACATAAAATAAAGTTAAATAAACCATAAAAATATTAAAAAAAAGAAAGAAACAAACAAACAAGCAAACACACACACACACAGATCCCAGCAGACCTTGTTGGCAGAGGTAAGTTTATCTCTGTGAGTTCAGGGCCAGCCTAATCTACATAATGAGTTCAAGGCCAGCAAGCCAGGTGTAGACAGTAAGAACCTGTCTTTTAAAAAAAGAATGTTGGGCTGGAGAGATGGCTCAGAGATTAAGAGCACTGGCTGCTCTTCCAGAGGTCCTGAGTTCAATTCCCAGCAACCACATGATGGCTCATAACCATCTGTGCTGAGATCTGGCGCCCTCCTCTGGCTTGCGGGCATACATCGAGGCAGAATGTTGTATACATAATAAATAAATCTTTAAAAAATAAATAAATAAATAAAATAAAATCAAAAAAGAATGTCAAGCCAATGAGAGGCCCTGTCTCAAATAAAAGGACAAATGTATAAGGGTACTGAAGAATAACACCCAGGAGTGTTGTCTTGACCCCGTACCTATACACACACGCGCGCACACACACACACCATACACACGCACGCACACACATTTGTCATAGACGCTGGAGCACAAAGGCTGATCAGACATGGACCTTACCCTCAGGGATCTCATAGACCAGTGGACAAAATGTAAACAGCAGGTGTTCTAGGTTCAGGGGCCGACGCTCTTCTCAGCTCTGCCCTTGTAAGGGTCTCCGTTGGGTCCTATGGTGGGGACTTGTGGGTATCCATTCTCACTTGCTCTTCTTTCAAAGCCATCAGGATTCAGTCACAAGGTTCCACTAAAACAGTTTCACCCCAAGCGCTTCCCAAAGGCCCACTACTAAACACAACAGTTGGGTAAAGTTTCTCCCTCTTAATATCTTGCAGCAGACACCAAGATTTGACACATGAAGGCTGAAGGACACTCAACCCATGCTTAGATCCTAGTGCCAGGATTGGTGGGATTTGGTAGGAAACATGGAGAGGGGAGTTGGATGCCCTTGTAAACAGTGTATTTTCAGAGCAGGGTTTCTGTCTGCTTCCCTTCCTCTTTTCCCCATCAACTTCTAACATCTTCTGCTCTTCAGGACCTGATAAATATGCCACTGAGCTTCAGCTTCGCCCTTGGGGTTCCACACCACCAGGCGATGGCTCGGTTTCAATGTTTCCCGTCTGCTTGTTCCACAGGCCAAGTTCAAGTCTCTGACGGTGGTCAGCACCTTCAAGTTAGGAACTGAGAAGGGCAGTGTCCTACAGCTGACGGAAGCTCCCTCCTGGAGTGAGGTAGGAGCCCTGGAAACAGAGGCAGTGGGAAGGTGAAAGGACGGCCTCTTTCTTTTCTCAGTTTAGTTTTTAACATCTCCTGTGTATCAGCGTTTTGAGGCCTCTGGAATATGATGTAAGCATTCCTACCACTGACCGCTCCCAGGCGTTTTTATTATTTTAATTTAATTCACTGTGCATCAGTGAGAATACCATGTTAGTGGAGGTCCAAAGAAGGCATTGATTCCCTCAAAGGGAGATGATTCTGAGCCGCAGCGTGGATACTGGGAACCAAACCCAGATCCTCTGCAAAGGCAACAAGTGCTTTTAACTGCCGAGCCATCTCTTCGGTCTCACCGTGGACTTTTCCAGAGCGGGACCATAGCCACTAGGCCGCAGCCCACCACGGCACTTCCACGGGCATGCTTCTTGCTTCGGTGTTTTTAAGTATAGAGGTCTCTGTTGTTTCGCTCTCTCTTTGGGGCTGGCTTTATTACAATGTTGAGTGACACTAGCCGAGTTAACGGACACTTAGAAAACACAAGTCAGGTATGGTGATGCGTGCCTGTAACTCTAGTGCTGAGAGAGGAAGCTTGCCATGAGTTTGGAAGGGCAGTCTGGGACACCATGAAACTCTGCCTCAAAAACAAACAAACAAACAAGCAAATCCGCAGAAACCAGTCTCAAAGGCAGAGCGTGGCAAATCAAACCAAAACAAACTCTCCTTGATATACAGAGCCTCTTGGAGGTGATTCAGAGCCCCACCGCCCCCATCTCCCTGTGGATCCTCGTGGGCAGCGTCCTGGGAGGGTTGCTCCTGCTTGCTCTCCTTGTCTTCTGCCTGTGGAAGGTGAGTCCAGCTTTTGTGGGCGGTGGGAGCATCGTGCCCACAATCTAAAGCATCTTACTCTGCCAAGAAGGGCAGGCTCCATGTTAGGCAGTTAAACACATGGGGGGTGGGGGCGGGGGGGGGGGTGTCCAGTGCGGATCTCTTTCACTTTATTCCACAATTGTTGCATGAGTCAAACTAAGCCAAAGAAAATAAATTTGAATCTCATTTCTGGGAGCAGAACAGACGCAAAGACCTCAGATAAGCTGCAGGGCTCTTAGCAAGGCCCCCAGTCAGGGCATCTGGCAATGACTTGAATGTTTCCCTCTGTAGCTTGGCTTCTTTGCCCGTAAGAAAATCCCCAAGGAAGAACCGACTGATGAGAAGTTGGAGCAGTGACTGCAGAAGGGTCAGAAAGTCCTCCTTGGCAGCCTTTTCAAGAGACTTGTGTCAAAAAACAGGCTTGGAGGCGCAGAGGGGAAAGGATGCTTCTGGAATATGTCTCCAGACCTGCAGCCTGACTTGACTTTTGAGCCATGGGTATGTTGCTGGCAAGAGATGAGGCTTTGCCTCAGACACGAAGGTCTGGCACCAAAACACATAATGTCCCCACCCTGTGCTTTCCTCCTGGCCCTGACAGGGTTCCACAGTCAACATTGGGTCTTCGTTTGGTACCCTATCTTCTCCCATCACAAGGGGGTCAAAGGATTTTTTTCCTGACACCTTCAGATGCCCTTTGTCCTCCCTCGCAATTCCGAAAAGGTTCTCCTCCACACCCCCACACCTCCCACACCCTCTCACCTTCCTGCCTGCTCCCCACTCCGCAGGAGAGAGCTGACGTTGACTTAAAAGAAGTAAAGTCAACATCTGCGGCTCTCCTGTGGAGTCTAGTGATTCATAGAGCCGGATGGGGAGAGTCAACAGGAAAAGAGGGAGGAGAAAAAGCCACAAGAGACATTCTGTCCAATTCCAAGGCACAGAGAAGCGTTCAGACAGGCAACCGCCAGCTCTCCTGAAACATGAGACTTCATGGGACGCCCGCCCTCAGGTGCTGGGGAAACCCAGCTGGCCCCCGGGCTCTCTGGGCTTCAGCTTTCCAACCCTCATCTTTCTTTAGGAGCAAAGCCAGGACCTGGCCCTGAGTTTTCTGGAACCAGGTTCCCCCTGGTGGCTCAAATTGGAATAGCAGGGAGCTCATTGGCAGCTTTTCCCTCTTTGCGGCTTCCTTAGAGAAAGCGGCTTATGGTGGGAAGCCCTTTGCCACACCAGTTTTGGGAAATAGCAGCCGCTGCGAGATCCAAACGAAGGGGATCTGCATCAAGAAACCTAAGTGGTTGGCATGAGACCTCGGGGGAGTAAGCCCTTTCTTGTCCAGCATCGGCTGACTTTATAGCAGTACTGTCTCCCTGGAAGATCTTTCTGGGACTCGTGTCGTGTGTCGTGCGTGGGTTTCTCTGCTGGAGTGAGTTTTCAGCCTTATTTGATGTTTACTGGAAAACTCAAGTTAACTCTGAATTCCCTCCCTCTTGTCCTATGTTTTGGTTCATGGGCGACAGGAATTCTCATAGTAACCGGGAAACTTGTTTTTTATTGTAAGTAAGACTTTGAACCGCAAAGTCAGTTGCGGGTCGCCAGAGTTCAGCTCTGATGGACCGATACTCTCAGACGGAGAAGAGAGGAGATCTGATTGGGACCCTGCCACAGAACCTGTCTTCCCAGGCTATTCTCGAGGCCTGTTTGCAGTGTTTATTTTGGTGTCTCTGGTCTTCGGCAGAGCCGCCCTCTGTGGGTATTGTCGTTTCTACCACGGTGATCAGATGGTCAGAACAAATAAAATCCAGTATCAAGTGACTTCTGGCTCTGTTTGGGTTTCCTAGGATATAGACTGCTCAGAAACGGAAGCACGCGAATGTTTTCTGTGGCTCTTCCGCAGGCGATCTGCCCTGTGCCCTGCAATTCTCGCCTGCTTAGGGGACCCTTAAAATATTCTAGGAAGTGCATAGACTGGATTGAATCGGGCCTGCCTGCCTTTGTACCTTCCTTCTTTCCTTCCTTTGTTTTTTCTTTTTTTTTGAGACAGGGTTTCTCCATGTAGCCCTGGCTGTCCTGGAACTCACTCTGTAGACCGGGCTGGCCTTGAACTCAGAGACCCTCCTGCCTCTGTCTTCCGAGTTCTGGAGTTAAAAGCCAGCGTGGCCAGGTTCGGTCTTTCATTTGTGCCATGTCTTCTTGAACAAGTCAGAGTTTCTTGGAGGTTCAGGTAACAGATTTTGTGGTCCAGGATTAGGAATAAAGGCGGATTTGGGTGTATAGGCCATCCTTTTTCAAACGCATGTGGCCTGGAACATATTTAACTTCTGTGTTAGTTTTCTCACTAGAGGTTCTGAGAACTAAGAGAGACAGTCCAGGAAAAGTGAACATGTAGTAAATGTTTAATAAACAGCAGCCATAATTACAAACCTACCATTCCACGCGCCGTGAAGACGACTAAGGAGGTATACGGAAGTAGTCCGCGGTTCCCGGCCTGACGCCATTCCTCTTTACACTGTTAGCTCCCTCTGTTAAGTCCTATCCTGTGCCTCATGCCCTTTGAGGCAGACTCTACATATATGCATATGCATATATGAATGAATCTCTCAGAGAGAGAGAGAGAGAGAGAGAGAGAGAGAGAGAGAGACTCATTCCCTGGGTTCTCTGACTCTAATATCATCGTCCAGAAGAGAGAGAGATTCATTCCCTAGGTTCTGTGACTCTAATATCGTCGTCCAGAGGGCAGGAAGTACTCTTGACTGCTGAGCCTTCCTCCAGCCCCTCTTTTGTCCACATGACTGAAAGAACCCTCTGGGGCTGGCAGATAGGTGGTAGGTAGGTAAAGGTGCTTGTCACACTGCCTGACCCCCTAGTTTGATCCCCAGGATGAGATTATACATGCTGGAAGGAGCAAACCCCTGCAGGTTGTCCTGATCGCCACAACTGTCACGGCAACAGCCTCCCCCCCATGTACACACAGAAATAAAGAAATGTAATCATTTTTGAAAGAAAACTTTTCTTTTTCCTTTGTGTCAAAATTATTAACCTTTTGGCGACTATCAAATGTGTTATTTGTGTCCTCCTAGCAAGGACACACCTGCCTCCCTCCATCCTCAGTTCTGGAGCGGGGCTTTCTCTAGTTGCAGTCTGCTTCTCAAAAAGCCTTCTAGTCCTGTGAAGCAAAACCAGTGTAGAGGCAATGGTCTCTTCTCCTACACTAGACTGTTTTTTCTTGTTGCTTCTTTGCTCATTCATTCATTCTCTCATTCACTTAACGGACAGTAAAGACCTAATATGTGCCAAGCAAGGGGCTAAAAAAAACACAGCTGCTGCCATCAAAGAATCTGATAGGAAGCACCAAGATGTAAACACACAACAGGGAGGTGGTGGCTGTGTAGGGAAGCATAAGGACTGCCAATAAGTCACACACAGAGATGCGCACTCTGATGGGCAGGTTGTCAGGGTCCTAAGGGAAAATACACAACAATTAAAAACAAAACAGCAATTCATGTGAGGTTCCACCTGGAATACACCAGCTGCAAAGAGAATTACGTATGGTCTTCTACAACAGTTAATTTGGTCATTTTGTTTGTTTTTCAAGACAGGGTTTCTCTATGTAGACCTGGTTGTCCTGGAACTCACTCGGTAGCACTGGACTGGCCTCAAACTCGCAGAGATCTGCCTGCCTCTGCCTCCCGATCAAGGTGATTAAAGGCGTGTACCTCCACCACCTTCTTCGGGCTTCTGTTTCAAAAGAGCCTTGTAAACCATGTTAGGGACTTTGGGCTTGGAGCATCTTAGAGGGACTGCCTGCTGCCAAGCCCCATTACTTGAATCAATTTCTGGACCCACATGTTGGACAGAGGGAGCCAATTCTTGCAGGTTGCCCTCTGACCTCTCCAGAAGTGTTCCAGTAGTACACACTCACACCCCTTCCCCCAATAAATGAATTAAGTAAAACACTTCTCAAGAGAACTTTGGGCTTTGTTCCTTAGCGTCGCAAGCATATTTGGGTGGGCTTGTAGGGGTTACAAGGAGGAGAAGGGAAAGATGGCCAGATCGGTTGGCTTAGCAACAGCGGTCAAACAAGAATTACCAAGAACGGATCCAAAGGACAGTGCGGAAGGTAGTGTGTGTGTGTGTGTGTGTGTGTGTGTGTGTGTGTGTTTGGAGACGGGCAAGCATACAGTAAAAAGTCTCCCCTTGGTCCTTTCTAAGAGCTGCCTTATGCGATCGGCCTAATCTTTCTCGGGTTTTGTCCCTCCCGGTGCAGTGGGCCACACATTGGTTCTCAAGTCTGTTTAGCGTTACAAGCGCCTACTGCTTCCAAACTGTTCTCTTTTGAAGATCTTCAGGGCTTGGGTTTTCGTCGGGGAGGAGGGGGATGAAGTACAGGTCACGGCTAAAAGCCTCGTCACAGGTAAAGGGGACGGATGGTGACGTCGAAGCCTGCTGAGATCCTTGGGTTGGGTTGGGCGTCCGAAGGGGGGGCAGGGGCGGGATTTGGGGCGGAGCTCCACGCAGAAAGGAGTAGGAGGTGGGGCCTCGGAGGCGCTTCTGCGGAGGCCGAGAGCATCCTTCTCAGAGTCCGTAAGTGCGGGGGGCGGGCTCAGGCTGGAGGGCGGGGCTTGAGGTCCAGCCCTGGTCGCCGCGGAAGACTGCGGGCTTTTTGCCTCTGCAGGGGCGGGGTGGGGCAGGGCCAGGGGCGGGGTTTCAAGCCCAGCCTTTGGGTTCACGTCTCCGATTGAGCGGGGTGGAATCTGGGGCGGGGTCTAGGGCGGGACACATCCTGCTTTTTGACAGCTGTCTCTCCCATAGCCTCAGCCGAGTGGGTTTGAGAACCTGTGGCCCGGCTCTCTGCGCGTCCCCGTCCCCCCGTGGCCCTAGCCCCGGCCATGAAGCGCATCTTCTCCTGCTCCAGTTCACAAGTGGCGGTAGGTGCCAAATGTGTGAGAGAAGGTTCTGGGGCTGGGGTCCAAGTCCTGTGTTGACAGAAGTCCTGAGTCCCATCTCCTTGGACGATCGCATAAAGCCTGCATCGTTTTTTTTTTTTTTTTTTTTTTTTTTTTTTCTGCGCGGCTGCTCCGGCAATGCGGCCGCCAGCTCTGCTAACTGAACTTACGGGTGCCTCCCCAAACCTGTCCCTCAACCTCCCTAACCTCTTCCTTCCCAAGGTCTTTCCCCTTGGCTCCTTGTTCTCCCAACATTTATGACTTCCAGTTTCTGGTATGCTTTCTGAAGGTCTGTCCTCTTCCCATGACCCAGCTCTCTACTTCAGGTCTGACTCCCGGTACCAACCCACCTCAGACATCTGCCCCACCCCCACCCCTAGCCTTTGCCTCCGTTCTTACTTCCACTCCTAATTCCTG